GTAATTCATTGTGAAAGTTTTATTCATTGGACTCTACTGTGATACTTATATGCCTTCTCAAACTAGTTATTTTAATGTATCCAGAAATGTTTCCAGGCACTGCAACCAACAGATTCCCTAGTAAACTCTCTTATCCTTCAAAACAGTGTGGCTGCTTGCAAACTGCCTGTTAGCAGCAGTCCCTGCAACACTCCTATTACCAAACTGTGCCCATAAACAACTGTAGGGCAGGAAGGCCAAGTTAGCACAAGCCAAAAGCACGTGCATGACTATTAACACCATTTCAGCACCAGCATGTTCCAATGTTCCCAGACATCCTGGTGCACTGCTTCATTTACTCGTGCAGAAAAGCAACCATGGCCTGTGAACATCCACCTTTGCTGCCAAAGTCTGAGAGGTGAGCACAGAGATCCTAACATCATTTGAGGCTGAGAGGATAGATATTTATAAGACTATAGTGGTGATGTTCTTGTTCCTTCCTGCGGAGACCTCAATGCCACTCTTCCTGCTCCACTGCCCCACTGACAACGTGCCATTAAACTATCTTTTTGTAAGGGTGCAAATTAAGGAAAGAACAGTCATGCATCTGTATTAGAAAAACACCATCAAATGTTTGAATCAGTCACCTTTAAGCTTCTCTCACAAATGCAGAATTGCTTGACATTGAGATCAGAATGTTGGCATCTAAAGTACTGGCTGTATTTGAATGTGTGTGTACATACATATGCATGTGTATGTAGCTGTGTACATACATTTACATACATACATTTATACAAACACTGTAGTACTTTCAGTGGTCTTGAAGGCTGCTTTCAGGACAAGTACACTTTCAGATGTCTGTTTTTATTATGCCTTTCAATAACATAGAAATATAGAAATATATCTAATTTTGTTATAATCTATTTGAAGCAAATAGCCACTACAAGTACAAAGCCCTTTTTTCCCTCTGGACTGCTCTTTTTACTGACATATATTGTCTGAAACTTTGGGATGCATATATCTATGGTGCATATCACTTCATGCATATAGGTGTTAACCATTTAATACAAAACAGAAAGCACTCAAATATTGCAGTGATAACTTACACAACCTAGCATTAGCCATTATATTTATCAGTACACTCAGAATGTTTTTTCTGCAAGATACAGCAGCATAAACCTGATGTTCACAATTAACTTTAGCAGAAAGTACACTATATTAATCTAACTCTCACAACTCCCTGATATGCAGAAAAATGCACACATTTATAATGACTGATATTACTTCTGAAAACACATTCAAAGCACAAAATGAAAAATATTTTTTTAAATTGATTTTACTTAATGGTAAATCTGTCACAAAGACTGTGCTTACTTAGATGACAAGTGATGTTGGATTTAACATGAGAAAACATAATATGTTATTGTGTTTTCAATGTGTTTAAAGTGACACCAGCACATTTAAGAACTATATGAGAAACGTAATAAATGAGTAACTCAAGTAGAATAATGAGTAACTAAAGTAATAAACCAACTTTTTATCAGCCCTCTGAGGAAAGACAAACTATGGGGTGAGCACAGCTAGTTGAACAGTATTAAAAGCTGAAGACTCCCACAATAACCAGTGAATAGCATCTCATCTGTAAACAGAGACCTTATTTTACAAACAGAGTACTTTAGGGAAGGGGTTAAAAATCTCATTCCGTGAAGAAATTCCACTAAAATCGTGTTTGCTCCAAGCAGAATGTTCCATTTGTGTCTGTAGCAGGCTACTCAGTTATTATTGTTTTCTTTCCCTTCCTGGCAGCTACTAATCGTCTGCATCCAAATATCATGACTGAAGTCTACACCTCAAATATTTAGCTTTGAAGATTAATGAACATCAGATTATATCCAGCCCCTAGGACAGGGACCAGGCTGAAAGTCAAGGAACTTTAAATTTGATTACACAAAAATTACCCAGCAAATTTATTGATTTTCTTCCAAGGCAAACAACAATCTTTACAAGTAAATGTTTAACTTTATACTCCCAAGCAATCAGTCCTAAGCACATATAGACAGCTTCCTTTCCCAAGTAATGAAAAATACACTATTGGATGAGAGAACTGAAAAGAAGTGGTATGAGATATTTACATCTAAAAGGATGCACACACATATGTCTGTGAGACTAATTTCATTCTTGCAAATTTGCTTATTCTCCTGGTTGCACTATTAATCAAGGCAGTTGATACAGATATGACAATTTAAATCAGATGAAGTATCTCATAAATGTTAGGAATCATTCCCATACCTACACAGACATCCATCTATTTGTATTGGTAGAGGTACATATTCCTATATACATACACATGAATGCACACACAGATGCCTATACATGTGTATCTATTCCTGTATATAACTCCCTAGAAGTGGGCATATGACTCAGATCACAAATTAGATTACAGCATCCTAGATAACTGAACAGAAAAGCTATAAAAAAAGCTGAGTCTCTGTCCTAATATAAAAATAGTATGTTTAAACTTTTTACTTATAACACCATTAACACTCATGGAGTTTTATACAATGCCAACCCAACATCTGCTCTTACACTTTTTCTGCAATCAGAACTCACCCTTGAATCAATTTTTCACCCTTGAAAATACAAAGTGCATGGAATACATCTGCTGTCTTTTTTCTCAGTGGTGCCTCAAAGCAAATCCTGCTTACTGTCTCAGTTTCTTCATTTTTTTTACCTCTCCCTCTCTATGGAACGAAAATATTTGCAACAGCCAGACCCCACAGATAAAGTGGAGTTTTAACCTGGGCAGTGAAAATGCATATTGTTTAATCTCTCTTTACTAAAGTTAATAAGAAGCCTCTCTTCTAGAAGTTTCTAATATTTTACAACAGGAAAATAAAAATTTCCTCTCCTCTGATCATCTCAGTATATTTAATAACTTTATGTGTTTTTGTAATGGGCTTCAACATATTTAAGTATTCAATTATCTTTTCTTTACACATCATAAAAGTAGGAAATTTTAAAATTTTTTTAGGCAGTGGTTGGATAACAGTAGTGAGTCACACTCAGTATGTGCCTCTGAAGTTACAAGTAGATATGAATGTTTGCTTTTCTGCACCTTCTTATAATTGAAGGACAACTTCAAAAACCAAAGCAACCCTGACAATTTCTAGAAACCACCACCAAAACACAAGGATGCTACTCAGTGCAAAGAGAAAGCAACAAATTGCATTTAGGCACAGCTACCTGGTGATCTCAGAACACAGAACAGGACAGTCAGGTAACAGTTCTTCAGAAAATAATTTAGAGATTACTGAAGGTCATGAACCAAATATGAGTATGCAGTTCATGTTGAAACATAGAATGTAGATATCATACCCGAAGACACAAATAAAAATGCAACGTACAAGAAAAGTAATCCTTCTATTTTACTGGTTAATGTTCAAATTTTAGTTTAAATTAGTTCAATTAGTTCAAATTCTAAAACTGAATCCAGGACTGCGTGTTGCAAGCAAGAAAGTTATGGTAACAGTTCACAGGAAAACAGTGTGAATGACCAGTAGTCTAGAAAACATGTGAGAAAGTATTAAAAAAGTTGTGATGTTTTAGCTTTAAGAGAATATGGGTAAAAACCAGGACAATAACCTTTCAATTAAAACAAAACAAAACTGAGAAAGGCTGCATGCTTTATGTTTTATGTCCAGGTTTTTTGCTGGGAAATTAGGACATCTTTCAAAACATTCCCAATCTGTCTTTTAGTGGAATTAGACTGCTTCCACAAAATATTTAAATTTCTGTGAATCTTCTTTTGTTTAAGAAAAGCCACTCTATTTGAGAAACCAGCGACAAGTTGAGTTTAGAGCTGGAATTGTTTCAACTCACAGTCAAACTTAGAAACAAAAACATAGTGACTACACAAATCACATATTTTAAGCAGTAGTTAGGTATGCAGTACACTTAGGAATTGGAACTGGAAGACAGGCTTTATTCAATTACTTGAGGCTCACTTATTGCTTGTCTTCCCACAACATGAAAGGATTTTATGCAAACAGAGGAAAACACCTTTTTCATACTCAGACTGCTATACACACACAAACCCCTCTGCCATGAAGGCAATGTGTGCTTTTAAATACAGAAACAAGGTTCATCTTGATATAAGAAAGTAATATTATTTACAGTGAGAGCCATTGTTCACTGAAAGTCTCCCCAGGGATATGGTGGAGTCCCCATCACTGGAGGTTTTCTAGATGAGATTGGACAGGGTGCTAAAATAACCTCATCCAGACTCCCTTTCCCATGAAAGGTTGGATTAGATGATCTTTCGAGGTCCCTAACAGCCTGGGCTGTTCTATGATTCTAGTTACTTCTATTGATATATTTTCTAATTTCAGAAACTCCCAGTTTCAGGATACAGATGCACAGATGGAGAAATGGAGCTTGTGGTAAGGTGTAAGTCTGAAGCAAACACCAACGTGGCAGTCACATCCAAACAAACTGGGTGTCATTTTCAGTCAAGAGAACCAGAAGGAAGTTTTAAAAAAGTACACAAAAATATATGCTGTTTGTCTAAGTATAAATTGGAAGCAGGATTAAACTGAATTACCTCTTAAATCAGCCCAGTTTGTGTAATTGCAGATGCCATCCTACTCAAATACCTGTGGCCCGAAGCAGCATTACCAGCCTCTTGTCAAAAACAAGTAAAACCAAACAATGTCCAACACAAAGAACCCTTGTGATAAAAAAATGCTCCCTTTAAACTTGTGTTTGTATTTCATCTGATGGAGTACTTTCAACTGCAGACAGAATGTCAGAGGAAGTGGATCTGTGAATAATTACAGACTCCTTTACCTTCTTATTTGATGCTCCAAAAATTGAAATTGCAACTGTTGTTTTAAAAATTACTTTAAATTTTGGTTCCCAAACAAATTAATATTGAAATATTGTGCCCTGTGATGAAACATAAATTGCCACATATAACTGTCTCAAGGCTGATACAATGCACTTTTATCATCTCAGTGACTTACCGTGTCCCTCATTGATGAGGCCCATGTTTACATGTGCTTGTGCCTTTCTCTTCCCACCATCAATTTTTACTAATTGAGCAGTGTTAAAGCACTGCTCATAAAAGTAGTCTCTTAACCATTTGTCCTCAGGGTCTTCGAAAGAGCAGGCCAAGTTAAGCTGGTTATCGTACACCTCCTCGTAGAGCCCTTCAAAAACAAAAATTACAATCAAAATATTAGATTATCATCAGCCTTCAGAAACCTTGCATGTTATAGCAATGATCATGTAATGAAAATGAAGAGCTATTTATATATCCACCATTCAAACACCGTCAAGTTCTCCTACATGTCCACTCAAAGAAATATAAGAGGAAAATTATAACCTTACAAATTAGGCACAATTGAAAACACATTTTTGTTCCCATTTCTGTGTGCAAACCCAAAATTCAGTTTAATACAACACACAGACCCTGGATAAGACATTGGCTAGTTAGAAGTTAGAGTGAGCTTAAAAAAGCCCACACTCTGCAAACAAAAAGCATTAATTCTTAGAACTTTAAATGTTCAAAGTAAGACTAACAAGAAAGTCTTTGAGTTTTCATGTATGCTCCCATGTTTAGTACCTTACCACTCTTAGAAATTAAGGACAAACTGAAATTGCACACCTTGCCCTGAAAAAAACCCCACAGTTCACCAAGGTATTGCTCTCAGAACAAATGTGGAAAGCAGGGGAGACTGAAAGTCACCAATTTTCTCTATGATCTGAAGTTTAGACCCCGCTCTTTATCATCTCAGACAACTAGATGAATACACATTATCCCTAAAATTTACAAAAACACTGCCAGTCTGAAATCTAAGTAGCATTACAAAATCATCCACAAATATATTATTCACAATTTAAAATTATAGAATGATAGCTTCAACAGAATTAGAGTTATTTCTCTCAGAAAATCACCTTCAAAAAAAAAAAATAAAGAAATCCACAAGATTTGAATTATTCCAAAACTTCATTAATTTGTGGTAGAGATCTAAAATTTTCCTGGTAAATCTTATCATACTGTTTCTACCTAAAGGGAATTTGAAATATCTATTCCTTAAGTGATGCTGAAAAATCTATCAGATAATGAAGTACAGCGTGAACTTACATGTTTCACGGTAAAATTTATCACTGACTAAACTAAATTAATTTTCTTTGCAAACTCTGCTCATGTCAGATGTGAAATGGAATAATTAGCTAAAATTCCATTGCAGTTTTGGTAGGCTACTTAGTGCGTTTGTGGCTATCAAATGAACGTAAGCCAAACAGCCAGTTCTTAAAAGAACTTCTGTGTAGTTGGGTAAAGGAGTCAAGAACCACAGGTCTTGTGGCAGGTGAGAGGCTCTTTGGTTAAGCTGGACGTGTGAATAGAACTGATTTGCTTCTGGGAGTTCTGCCATTTGTAAGTTTTGCTCAACGAAGAGAGAAAAGGGGGAAAAGAAAAAAACAATACTTTTGTTTGTTGCTTTTGGGGTTTTTTCATTTATTATTTTGTTTTCCTATTTATTTTCCTCAGAGTTTTCCCCTCTATGAAGTGGTAACATCATATTCCTTTCTATAGCTCCCATTAAAATATATAAACTTACGATTTTTGAACCACTTTGTTTTATATACATTTCCATTTCTCGTATTTTAAATAACTCTTTCAAGAAACGAGTGTTTCACAATCTCTTTACAGTCACTAAAGTAGAAATAACCCAGAAATTACATTTAGATTATCATCTCATCATTTGTGTCTAAGGTTTTACACCAAAACATGCCAAAATATCAGCTTAAGTTTAGAAATTTAGCTTTGAGAGGAATTAATTACTAATATATAGACTTCACGTATTCCTTATCAGAACATTCTTCACAGCAGTGAGTTTTCATGCCTTTTTTTCTCCCCTCAAGACCAAAAAAGTACCTCTTGGGTACCTCTTCTTCAGAACATCCAGGAGTGTACATCATATAAAAATTAAACATACAAATATGAGAAATTAAGACAATTTTTGTACAATAGCCTCATAAAAATTTCTGCAAATGATACTGAAATGGAAGTAACAAAACTGGGTTGGGTTTAATATACATATATTTATCTGTGTGCATGTGCACAGATATACATGTCTATATTTATATATGTTTATAATAGATATAATATAGATAATGACACACACAGCACTGTAGCATCTACTAAGAAGAAAATTATTCTAGCCAAAACCAGGACCATATACAGATAAAAAAGTTAAGACATAGTTAGGATTCACACAAACTAACCAATTTAGATACAGATACGAGTTATCTGGGATCCCTTTATTCTCAATGAAGAAAACCAGTTACTTCTTGGCTGAGATCCATTCATCTCATCCTGACTTAAACAACTACTGCAGCACAAGGGAGTTCTTTCAGAGATTATCTCATAAGTAAAGACAGAGGTTCCCATGACAATTACAAGCACACAAGCAAATAACCACATGAAGAGAGAAATACAAAACCTAATTATAACCACTAACATAAAGATAACAATACATATTACATACAGATCACAGCTAAGTGAAAATGAACTCGGAAGATACCAGAGGATACATACAAATGGTTGCAATAACACAGAAAGAGAAGAGATAATTGGATTCTCATTGGGGTAAAACACAAGATACAGATTTGCTCCTTTGAAATCTTTGCTACGAAGCATCAAGGCACTAATGCGAGATAAAATTACGCAAATAACTTCAGGTAGTGCCCTACAAATCCCAGGAGATGGAAGTGACCTGAGGCAGACTATAGCTACTGCCACAGCTTTGATTGAATGAACTTTAATGTGACCCTCTGATGACTACCCTGCCAGTGAATAACAATGAGAAGTGCACAAAGACAACCAGTTCTCTGTCATTGTCTTGGGCAGTGGCTGACCAGATATGTCGGTCATAAAATGAACTCCCAAAGCCAGATTTTGAAAGTCATATTGTCTTCTGGATTCAAAGTCTGATTTACCAATCAAGAAATTAATTGAGGTTATTCTGACAGTGGCAAAGATAGCACATCAGACTTGGTAAAAGTGAACTTTTACCTCCTCAGGAGAAGAACATTAGAATAGGTAAATACAGTCTTCTATAAAATCTCCAAGAAGTAGTTTAGACTTAAAAGCTTTGAACTCTCTGATTTTGTAAAGTTCTCTACAACTGATAATAGAATACATGTAGACAAGTCATATTTATGTATCTGTTGATCAAAAAAAAATTATCTGCACCATTTATCAGAGAGGGAATGACAGCACTGGCATGTGATACTGAATGAACAGAAAGAAAAGTTTGTATCACAGAACAAACAGAGAGAAAAGTTTCAATCACACAAGCAATTGTAAAACAGTTCCTGCAAGACAAATTCCTGTTTTTATATAAGAAACAATTAAGAAAGCACATAGAAAAAGGTCCAATGGCTGGATCCCATTCATCCTTCAAAAATTACATTAATTTCATAAAACATTGGAAACTAAATCCAGGTCTTCCAGAACACTTCAGCCACAGGATTGTGAGAAAGCTGTGAAGAAGGTCTATCCAAAAATGGCAGCCACGCAGAGCAAATGAAACTTGATGGAGCAGATGCTGAAGCCTGTTTGTTAACAGTTTTAGATTGATTTGAAGATCTGAAAACACATCTTATGGGTAATTATTCAATAGAGCATTTATTCAGTACAAAGTTGCAAAATTGAAGGAAGTAACATTTCACAAAAATTAAGCAGAAAACAAATTAGAAGTCATGTAATTATGCAGTATTTCTTTTATAACATTTTAATATTTTTATGGGTTTGTAACCGAATATAAATTAGAGAAAATGGACTTTCATTTTGTTTGATCAGAACATTTCAAAGTACTTTTATTTCCACTGAAATCCTGTATATTAAACACACATGGTATTTCTTGCTCTGTATAAGGATCTCTTCAAGTGCACCTCAACTGCCAAGTGGCATCTCCCCTTATTGTGCACAACCCACAGGCCCTGATTAGCCCACTGAACAAAATCTTTGTTTGTTCCTGGGCTCTTCTCAGAAACTGTTTCCTTGGCAAGCAGGGGTGTGCACGGAACAGAGGATCCAAACAAATCCATGTTTGCATGTTTGTTGTGTTCAGTCAGACAACTGCTAAGTAGTGCAATGCACAGGAACACTGAGGTGCAGTTTGAGTATGATAACCCCAGGAGAGCTAAAATGAGGGCAAAAAACCGTACAGAAGGTCTGCAAGCCATACTATGAGTTTTAAGTACAACTGCTGCCACATCTGTATAATCTTTGTGACAGGATGTAACAGAAGAAAGGAAAAGAAGTACAACAAAGGTCTTTAGAGAACTGATGAAAATATCATAAAGACATCCTGGCTTGGTGTTTTCCTTGAAGAATAAAAGAAAGAGGCAGTAGCCCCATTTTCCATTAACAAGAACTTGCACTCATTTTTAAAATACAAGTATTGGAAAGAAATTTTTCAACATCCATTTCTGGCTCAATATTTTCCACTCAAAAACCACCAGTCAGTTATTTGTTCCTGACAAAGGCCAGATGGAAGCTTGTCAACAGCTGTTAACGCTCATCCTCCAGTTTAGTTGGTTGGTTTAAGTGAGTATGACTTGATTATAACTGACCATTCACTCTTGAAGACATATAAAGGAGTGCCCCAAGGCCCATTAAGTCACTAGGAGTAATTTTTGATGTCAGAATGAGACACTATTAACGCTGGAAGTTTCATTTTTCTTTTGCCAGAGAGATCAGTGACTTAGTAGCAAGACAGCTGATGCTTTGAAGAATTCATACACAAAGAAAGATCCAGGATGGAGGCTGTTGGATCAAAAAGAAGCATGAACTGCAATAGAACATGGTGCTGCAATTGAGTTATTTCCACCTCCATGGAAATAAACATTCATGGCAAAGAATCAGTCCCATTAGCTTGCTAAGGCAATCCTGCCTCTATATCTACAGGTAGAGGCCCACCTAATTATTCATTTTTTTCCACAGAATTTATTAATAAATGGATAAGCTTTTTACCAGGAAAAAGAAAAAAAGAACAAATGAAGCAAGGTTTCTGTGAGTTGTTAGCAGGATGACACTATCCAGTTTCAGGCAGAGCCTGTTTCCCAGAGTGTACACAGAGCACACTGCTCCCTCTAATTTATGTACTGCTGGATACATAAAGGGAAAATAATAAAT